TTTTTACAAACTGTTCTGTAGTGTTAATCAAGGTGGAGTCCTAATTTCTATACTTAATAAATGTGTACACCGTCGTATGCAAACGTATTAACACCCCCAGTCGATTTACATGTTTCATTGATTTCAAAGTGAAAATAAGTGAACACATCCTCTACAGAGAACACATTTAAATATGATATTTATCTGCTAATTTTACTGCACACTTTCTATTTATTTGCTGAGTTAAACACATTGGGAATAATAAAACACAAAATGTGCCATAACTTTTGCAAAAGTCACAGGTTTTATGTTTTATTTTCCACCAATATGTTAAATTCAGCAAAAAAACAGTAATTGTGCCTTAAAATGTGTAGAAGAATGTTCTCTGTAGAGCAGTGTTTCTCAGCCCTGGTCCTGGAGGCCCACTGCCCTGCACTTTTTAGTGTTTTCTCTGCTCCCAACACCCCTGATACAACTAATCCGCTCATTAACAGCCCATTATTGAGTTAAAGTGGGTGTTTCAACGTAGGAAAAGTTCTATCTTGTGCAGGGCAGTGGGCCTCCAGGACCAGGGCTGAGAGACATCCTCCTGTAGAGGATGTGTTCACTTATTTAGACTTAGGAAACAAAATGTAATTTGACCAGGGAGCACAAACTTTTGCATATGACTGTATATCAGTGTCAGTATCAGCATCGGCAGATAAATACATGAAAAATATCTGATATTGGTGCATCCCTACAGTGTTAACATCCCTAACAGCTGCTGTTACTGCAGCAAAGGGGGACAAACCCCCTATTAACACCCTTCATTTCAGAGGAAACACTGCTGTCTATAAACTTTTGGACATACAGAGCAGTAAAAGAGACCTACAGCGTATTTACAGATTGCAAATGCATGTTTATTAGAGCCGTGCACAGCGTGAGTGAAGTATGGCGGCGTTCTCCATCTGAATTTGGCACTGATGCTGATACCCTCTAGTACCAGTTTGTGCAGGATATCATGAAGCACATGTCGTCTACCTTTCTGCTGCCTATTCTGCGCTGCGGCAGCCCTGAACCTGCTTCCAGTGGACGGCTTCCACTTTCCGTGTCTGGACTCTGACTCGTTGGTGGCTCATTGCCTTGATCCGATGGACGTTCTTGGTTCTTCTGCCTCTGATCTGAAGGTGAATCAGCACTCTGACCTCCTCCCATGGCTACAGGAAAGAGATGAGCATTAGAATATTTATTTAGGAGCTTCACAAAAACCACCTATGAGAGAAAATCGTACATTTTTTAGGACGTCTGCAGAGTTTAATGCCACTAAAAGCTCCCTTACAGAGTTATTTTGTGACATGGTTATGAATTCACTGGCTGATGCCTGAGATGTTGTTTTACGATAGCTTTCAGAAGGTTTTGGCCTAAAACATTAACGAAAATCTATTTAAAATTAATTTATAAACTTATTTTATATTTTCCACTGTTTTTCCATCATCAACATTCCATATAAACTCAGAAGACTCGTGTAGGTTCACTGGTGGTTCTGGACAGTAAATAAAATATCTATATCTGTGTTGTAGTCATGGCGACCCCTGGTTCCCATCACCACCACTGTAAAGACATCTGAACCATTTCACACCAAACCACTCTGAATCACTCTGTTTACATCTCAGCCATTGGATTGTGAAAAAATTTGGAAAAGTTGCTGGAGTTCCCCTTTAAAAATAAACACTTTGTGCCCCTGGATGCCTCAGTGCTGCCCCCATGTGGACAAAACTAACATCCCTCAAAATGACTTTGTCCTACTAAACGTTCCAATTTACTTTCACATAATTAAAAGATGTCAAACGTCAATAAAAAAATAAAAACACAAGCAGTTTTATGGTGATTTTCTTATGTCCTTGGTAGTGACTCACTGAAATGTACTGGTGCACATAAATAGGTGGGCATTTATTACATTAGTGGAACAATTATTGTGAAATAATTTCTGTAATGCGCGTCTGTTTTTGCGTCGCTTTAGTTCAGGACATTCTGCTGTTCACAAAAGCAGCTACTCAGAAATTCAGCTGTTCAGCAGTTCCACCAAAATAGAACCTCAGAGAGAGACGTGACCTAGACTGAACTCCCTACGCTCTTAAAAAAGACAGTTCTTTATCAAGGGAATGATTCTATTTAGGACCGTGAGTTCTATATAGAACCACTGGCATGCTTAAATGGTTCTTTGCATGGTAAAATGGTTCTTCAGATTGATAGAGAATGTGTTGTTTATGAAAATGGTTCTATTAGCAACAAAAAGGGTTCTTCTATGGTTACAAGCTTAATATCATAACTATGGCAGAACCATGTTGGTACTATATAGCACCCTTTTCAACAAAGTTCCATATAGAACCACCTCTGGCACATTCTCCATCAATGCATCACGATCACGTCATCATGCAAAGGGTTCTCTGACTGTTTATGGTTCTACATAGAACCATTTTCTTTACTAAAGAACCCTTGAAGAACCATTTTTAAGAGTGTATTGTACACAACCTTGACACCGTCACAACAGAAAAACTCTGGTGCTATGCAGAACCATTTTCATAAAGGTTCTATATAGAACCATATACAATGCATTCTCCGTCAGCGTGAAGAACCATTTCACCATGCAAAGCATGCAAATGGTTCTATATAGAACTCATGGTTCTAAATAGATCCATTGCTTTTACTAAAGAACCATTGGAGAACCCTTCTTTTCAGCCTGAATGATTTAGTTAGCACATTAACCACATTTAATTATGCAGAAACTTTAGTAAAATCGGTGGAGTTGCCCTTTAAAGCAGGAGGAGCGCAGCTGCGGGCTGCTGTGTGAAGCCATTACCGCACTCAGGCCTCCGGGCCGCGGAGAGACTCCGGTGAGTTTGTCCGGTGTTTCCAGGCAGAACTCGGCCGCGGATGACGCGCGGCTACCGCAGTGACGTGTCACGGGCACCTGACTAATGAAAGCGTCAACACGGGTGACGTCACGGCGGAGGCCCGACCTGATTGGCTCACAAATCCACCGATCCAGGAGAGGTGAAGCCCGGTTGCTATGCAGGATATATGAAGAGAAAATAACAATAAAGCCAGCTTGCAGCCTCACCAACATCCTAACTGTTTCCTAGTTCACAATAAAGGGAAATATGACATAATATTGTCCCATATAACACATTATATATATATATATATATATACTTTTTTCCCTCGTTTTATTGCATTAATAAAGTCAGAGTGATGTGAATTCACTTAAAACTCTTAAACACTTAAAAGAAAGTTTCCTGCACTGATCTTATCTCTCTTTTAAAGTCTCCTTTAAAGTCACTGAACACAAAACGATGGTATATTTTCTTTAAATATATATTTATATATAAAAATAGGAAGGCAATAGATTACATCTCTTTAAATGTTATCATGGCTTCAATTTTGATTAATTACTGCTATTTTTAGTTGTTTAAATCAATCATGATTGTATTTATGCAACATTATTAACACCCTAATTATTTTCTAGCACAAAATAAAGGAAGAATATTTGATCTTTTCTCAAGTAACACATTTTTGAAACAAATTTCTAAGCTTTGTTGAATGAAATCTGAGTCAATATTTATTATATAGCTTTATTATTATTATTATTATTATTATTATTATTATAGGAAAGATATTTAACTTTTATTTCTGTCATCTTTCAACAGACCTCTAGACCTCCAAGAGCAGGATCATGCAGTAAAGATCTTTAACAAACATGGTTTTATTGCGTTTATAAAGTCAGAGTGATGTGAATTAACCTCTTCAACTCCTTGAGACCACCGGTGGTTCCAAAACGCATGTCGTCATATTCTTCATAACTTTCATATTTCATAAGCTACATTCTAAAGGTGGGGGTCGTATGAGAGCTGTAACTGTCTTCTTTACAGTCAAATAGATGGGTGATGTCATTTTAAACCCTCATAATAAAAGAAGCTGAACTCACCACTTTTTTTTTTGTCCACTGAAAGTCTTCTGCACAGATCTTGTCCCCTTGTTAAATTCACTAAACACAAAGCTATGGCATATTTTTAAAATAAATTTTGGAAAAATTATAGATAGTAACACCTCTTTAAATGTCATTGTGAAGTTTTATTTGTATTCTTTATTGTTATTTTTAGTATATATAATTATTTAAATGACTGTATGTATGTATTATGCACATTTCTGTAGTTCATACCACCACATGTAAATACTGTACTGTTAATGTCTTGCAATAAAACCCTTTAACACAGCGACAGCTGCTCTGTGTTTAGCTGGCTCGTCCTGTAAAGACAGTTTCAGTGTATTTTCCCTGATATTGTGTATATATATATATATATGTACGGTACGGAGCCCCACTGGTGACATCCTGTATAAATAAAAATAATGCGAGCCCACGCATTAATAAGTCATGGCCACGACTTAATCATCTCATTCCCACGCCTTACTAAGTCGTGGCCAAGCATTAGGATCTCGTTCCCACACTTTACTAAGTCGTGGCCACGACTTAATCATCTCATTCCTACGCCTTACTAAGTCGTGGCCACGCATTAGGATCTTGTTCCCACGCATTAATAAGTCGTGGCCACGCATAAGGATCTCATTCCCATGCTTTACTAAGTCGAGGCCACGACTTAATCATCTCATTCCCACGCTTTACTAAGTCGTAGCCACGCATTAGGATCTCGTTCACACGCTTTACTAAGCCGTGGTCACAACTTAATCATCCCATTCCCACGCCTTACTAAGTCGTGGCCACGCATTATTTTTATTTATACAGGACGTCACCAGCGGGGCTCCGTATATATATATCTGTATATTTAAGGCATGTTTAGGATAAAAACACTGCGGCGTTTTAGCGAAAAGTCAAACATTCGAGCATCTATATTAAATGTACTGTGGTCTAACTCTAAGACGAGCACTTTAAACGCCCTTTTCGAGCTGTAATTTTTGGAAAATATACCTTAACAACCAAAACAAAACAGCTCCCGTCCTCCCCGCCTTCCCGTCATCCACGGCGGCTCGCGCAGAGACACCGAGCGCCGTGACGTCAGCGCGTTTTGCGGAAGCGAACACGTGGGTCGCCGCAGTCCACGCTTCAGTTCGGCGTTTCGGTAAAAAAAACTCTTTTATTTCTTCTTTTTTAATACTAATAACAGGACGACGACTGTGAATTATGAATATATACGACAGAAACTGCTGCTACGCGCACATTACTGGGATGAACTGGCCGCTTAGTCGCCTGTTTGTCTGCTTAATGATCCGCTAACTGACTTAGCTTAGCTGTGTTTATGGAGTTTCAGCTCAGATGAGTTTGTTCACTTTTCACGTTCAATTATTTATCAGTTCAAACGGCTCTAAAGTCGTAGTAGATGAATGATTACACGGGGAAATCGCCTCAGGGTCTGAATGGTCCATCGTTCAGCTTTGCTGGAGTGGAGCTGCTGAACTTGCTAATGCTGGAGTGTCTCCAGGTTTCAGGTTGATTTGTCTTTTGAACAACAATGTCAGGACATTCATGCGTTGAAATGCTTGTGGTGAGGCTCAGATAATGACTCTACAATAAATAAGTAAAAATAAAAATACAAGAAAATACTGAAACTGGAGTATATTAAATATACGTAAAATATACACAAAATATACAAAAATTGTAGAGACAGGAGGGACCTGTGTAAGGATGTAAGGGAAAAATAAAATAAAAATAAAAAATCATCTCTGCTATGTACAAATATATTTATATTAAACAGATAATCTGTGAAGAATATATACATTTTAAAGTGACTTAAGTGACTCAGTGTCATTGTTATTTAAAGTGACTTAGTGTTAAAGTGTTATTGTCCATAGCAGAGATATGATATGATAGTAATGCTGACAGAGTGACTGAGTGAGATGGTAGTTTGGATGAAGGACCCACAGCTTCACAGCTTGTTCAGAAGTCTGACAGCCTGTAGGTAGAAACTGTTCATTAACCGGGTTGTTCTGGCCTGGATGCTGCGGAATCTCTTGCCTGATGGCTGGATGGTGACCAGGCCGTGTGCTGGGTGAGGCTGTCTGACCGGATCTTTTTGATTTTCCTGAGCAGCGGGACTGGTAGACGTCATGTAGGGCTGGTAGCTTGTTGCCTATGATGGCTTCTGCCGTCCTCACCACTCCTTTAAGGGCCAAAGTTATCTCTGGCAAAGTTAAGCTGAAAGAAAGTTTTTCTTGTCGTTGTTGCCTTTGTTAATGTCACACCATGGCGTGGTCATATACAACCTGAGGTCATTTAAGACCAAATCAAGCTATTATTTGGGGGAAACAGGGCTTGAGAATGAACGTAAGTGAGCTGGGTGGTTGTTGTAACTGTCTCTAACTGTACCGGTGTGATTGTGTTCTCCAGTTTCTGGCAGATTTCAGTACATCTTCAGCGTTTGATCAGAGATGGCGGTTCGAGCTTCATTTGAGAAGAACAATGAGATTGGGTGCTTCTCAAAACTCACCAACACATACTGCCTGGTCGCAATAGGCGGGTCAGAAAACTTCTACAGGTGAGTCTTCTTGGAGCTGTAGAACATCAGACCTCTCAGGCCATAGCCAGGGAGATTACTATGTATTTACTTACTGTACTATTTATATTGTACACATATACAATGTTAAATATGTGTGAGTGTTTTTGTCAAAATGTATATGTAAATGTGTGGATTCTATGTAATTTGACTGTGGTCTTCAGTGTCTTTGAAGGTGAACTGTCAGAAACGATCCCAGTGGTCCACGCTTCCATAGCAGGATGTCGGATAATTGGTAGAATGTGTGTGGGTAAGTTTAAGTGTAGTTGGCAGTAGTAATGCTCTGATACTTTACACAAATCTTAAAACTGAAAATGCTTTAACCTAGTTGGTCATCCTTGGTTTGTTCACGCTGTAATAGTTTTGCAAAACAAAGCATATGAGTATGTTTCAAACTGACCATTATTTGGGATAAACTAATTAGGATTCATCGTTATTTAGGGGTATCCAAATGTAGAAATGATCCTCAGAGCATTTGTCCTGTGAATATGTTTATCTTCTGATAATTCTGCCAATTCTGATATTCCTCAGAACCTTTGTCTTCTGATAATTTAGTAGTTGCTTTTTCAGTGCATGGAACCAAAAAACATAGCAAATTGACCCATTTACAGTGTCAGCATAGCTGATCAGATCTACTGATCCCTCAAATTTCCACTATTTTAATCGTACATATTTGTCAGAGGAGGTACTAAATGAAGAGCCATTAAAGACTGTTTCAAGCAGATTGAGGAACATCTGTATATTTTTCAACTGATAAGTGAAGCTGTAAGAGTCTTTTTGGCACCTTCACACTATTTTGGCATTTGTAGGTGAAGTTGGGGAAGTAGAGTTAATTGTTAATTTTGTTTTTCATTAAAAAGCTGGATTTGGATCAGTGAGTTTTAAGCCACCTTAAAATGATTCATTTAGGCGACGTTCACACTTCAGGTAAAAGTGGCCCAAACTTAATCCTGTTCTTCTTATCTGACGCAGATTTGTTTACACACCTCATTTGTACACCTTATTTTGGAGGAGGAAAAGTTTTTCAGAATCCACTTAAATTTCAGGAAAAAAGATATTTTGGGAAAAGAATAAGCAAAATAGTCGAGGGAGGTTCACAGAGTCTCTTTATCCAGTAGATATCACTGTTTTGGCACTGAGATTTCTAGCATTCTTCCTCAGTTAAGGTAAAGAAACTGAGCTTCCTTTCTCTGTGATCAACTTCCACAATTAAAACAAGCACAGAAATGTACTGTTTCATTTCTGTAAACTTTGTTCAGTGTGGTCTGGTTGAGCGTCTGCTGTTTGTCCTCCAAGTTTAAAGTCACAGTTCACTCAGATGTTGTGAAAGAAGTTATTAATCTTAAGGAAATCTGGAGGACAGCTGTGTTTGTTGGATGAGCTTGTTCAGAGTTTTTGCACATGCTGGTCAGTTCTGCAGTGTAGTCTGTTCAGACTGATGTCAGAGACATTAAGCATTAAAAAGAAAAGGTAAATGACAGTGAGATTTGTGCAGGAAATCAGTTTTGGGCCACTTTTACTTGATCATAGCTTTAGTCTGAAGTCTTTGGCTTCGCTGTGTCTCAGCCTTTTCTGTTATATGTTGACTGTGTCTAAAGTGGTGGTTAAAATATGAACTTCTTAATCCCACAGGAAACCGTCACGGCCTTCTTGTACCCAACAACACAACAGATCAGGAGCTGCAGCACATCAGGAACAGCCTTCCAGACTCGGTCCACATTCAGAGAGTAGAGGAGCGTCTGTCCGCGCTGGGGAACGTCATCGCCTGCAATGACTATGTGGCTCTAGTCCATCCTGATCTCGACAGGGTACGAATCGTTTTGGACTCGATATTCTGTTTAAGACAGACACACATTTTTTTCTTAGATTAGTTTAGATGGATAGATAGACAGATAGACAGACACTTTATTGATCCCGAAGGAAATGTAGCAGTCACACAACACAGCACAGTTATAAGGGTGGTACAGTATAAACCAGAGGTCACTAATAGGTGGACCGCAGTCCGAGTCCGGACCCAGACACTGTCCTATGCGGACCTGGACCTATAACCGATAAACTATGGAGAATTATTTAATTTTGCTGGGGTGGTCCTATTTTAATCGGCGTGACTTTTCTAGTCTTTACGGTACCATTTAGCATTACGATGAGCACTGAGACTCGAGTGAGTGACGCACACACAGGGGAGGGACGAGGCGAGAAACAGCAATCGGAGAAGAAAGTGAGTCAGAGGGAAGTTATTCCACATTGCGTGCTCTAAAAAGAGAAAACTGACAAATATTGTTGAAATATGACTGAACTGTACTTTATTTGATTTGATATTCAGTTGTTGACAATATAAGATGCTGATATACCTACTAGGCTACTTCAGTAAACAGTATATGGCACTGAATCATGGTGCAAGTTAGACATTATGATGTTCTGGACCTTTACTTGAGGAAATTTTCTCTAACTGGACCTTATTGAATTTTAATTGAAGACCCCTGATATAAACAGAAGAATGTACAGGCTCAGCAAAATTCTAAACTATACATAAATCTATCTCGCTTATTACAAAGAGGCAGGAATATATACAAAAAAACCTATCTACAGGCATATATACCACTAGGAATATACAAAAATATGCAGTAAGATCAGATCCTGAGATAAAAAGGCAGTGCAATAATAAATGTACAAGGAGGTGCAGGTAACAGCATATAATGACGATACTGAATAAATATGTGCATGTATTGGTAGCATGTAAAGTGTCCAGATGTTCAAGATGTGCGATGAGGTCTGTAGAAGTGCAAGATGTACAGTAAGGTGTCCTTATGTGCTGATAGATAAAATGAATCTATGATTTAGCATAAGAGATTCAGTCCTCATCTCTCCTCTTCCCTCTTTAAGATTGTGTGCTTACAAAAGTATCATTATAAATCTGAAAAATTTGGCACAGGTTAAATGTATGTAGTGATGTTTGGTGTACTGCTTGTAGGGGTGGATAATATGGCAAAAAGACATTTTCGTAATATTGTTTTACTGAAGTTTCATAAGTTGAAACAGACAAAACATTTGTAGTGACACAAAAACTAATAAACACAGAACAGTAATTTTTAATGTTTCTGCACTGCAATAAATCCAGTTAAACAGGAACTGTTCTGCTCTTTTTGTGATGAACGACGCAGGTCAGTGTTTTTTAAAGAGGAATTCCACCAGATTTTCCAAATTCCTGCATGATTAAATGGTTAAGATGTAAAGAAGGTCATTCAGAGTGGTCCAACGTGAAATGATTCACATTCATGGATTGAATTATGTCGAAGTTTAAAAAGTTGGTGGAGTTTCCCTTTAAGTACTCACTGTTTCCACAGTATGCTCGGAATATCATAACGTGTTTTAATTTATCATTAAATATCGTCATATTTCCCACCTCTAACTGCTTGACTCGTGGAATTCTCAGTTTGGTTAACGTTACACGTTTACTGTGTTGTGCAGGAGACGGAAGAAATTTTGGCGGACACTCTCAAGGTGGAGGTCTTCAGGCAAACGGTGGCAGAGCAGGTGCTTGTGGGTAGTTACTGCGTCTTTAGCAACCAGGGAGGCCTCGTCCACCCCAAAACTTCCATCGAAGACCAAGATGAGCTCTCGTCGCTTCTTCAAGTGCCTCTGGTTGTGAGTAAATGTAACGTTCTTCCTTTTGTTCTCAGACTCAGGTGTGGGTCTTAATAGACCTCTGAAGCTGAATTCTGCAGTCAACTTCATGCTCAGATGAGGAACCCCAGGTCTAAGCTGGTTTCCTCTGTAGTGAACAATGAACAATGCTTTAGAGTGTCAGTAAAATACATTGATACGTTTTCTGTTCACTTTTCCCCAAATATCACTAGATACTCTGAATTACGAGGTCATATGGAGTCAGAATGCAGATAATGCTGTTACACTGCAGTAATGCAAGCTAACATATGCATTTATTTGATGTCTCATGAAAGTAAGTCTAATATTGGTCCTAAACACTGTGGTCAGACATCACCAGCTAATTAAGCTACTTGGATAAATCTGGCTTCTTTGTGTGGTGACCCCATGGAGGTGCAGTGTGTGAGATTTAGGGGGCTCTATTAGCAGAAATGGAATATATATACACCGATCAGGCATATCATTCTGACCACCTCCTTGTTTCTACACTCATTGTCCATTTTATCAGCTCCACTTACTGTATAGGTGCACTTTGTAGTTCTACAGTTACAGACTGTAGTCCATCTGTTTCTCTGATACTTTGTTAGCCCCCTTTTACCCTGTTCTTCAGTGGTCAGGACCCCCATGGACCCTCACAGAGCAGGTACTGTTTGTGTGGTGGATCATTCTCAGCACTGCAGTAACACTGACGTGGTGGTGGTGTGTTAGTGTGTGTTGCGCTGGTCTGAGTGGATCAGACACAGCAGTGCTGCTGGAGTTTTTAAACACCTCAGTGTCACTGCTGGACTGAGAATGGTCCACCAACCAAAAATATCCAGCCACCAGTGTCCTGTGGGCAGCGTCCTGTGCCCACTGATGAAGGACTAGAGGATGACCAACACAAACTGTGCAGCAGCAGATGAGCTATCGTCTCTGACTTTACATCTACAAGGTGGACTGACAAGGTAGGAGTGTCTAATAGTGTGGACAGTGAGTGGACACAGTGTTTAAAAACTCCAGCAGCACTGCTGTGTCTGATCCACTCGTACCAGTGCAACACACCCTAACACACTACCACCACGTCAGTGTTACTGCAGTGCTGAGAATGATCCACCACCCAAATAGTACCTGCTCTGTGAGGGTCCATGGGGGTCCTGCCCACTGAAGAACAGGGTAAAAGGGGGCTAACAAAGTATCAGAGAAACAGATGGACTACAGTCTGTAACTGTAGAACTACAAAGTGCACCTATACAGTAAGTGGAGCTGATAAAATGGACAGTGCGCCTTTCGCCTTTTTTCGCTGAAGACGTAGAAAGAAGAAGGATCAGTGATCGCTGCCGGTGCTTGATAACTATTTTGTGCTGTGAAAAGTTTGCGAACCCAAGTTTTAATAGAAGGAGAATCATATTTATTGTTTAGCACACAAAAAAGCAAGGGATGGTCAAAGAACCGTCATTGTTGTTGAAAAAGGGAAAACATGAAGAAGCGAAATCGAAATCAAACACTAAATCGGGACAGGCGACAGCAGAAACCTAATGGCCACGTAAGTTCTGCTACATGCTTGGAAAGGGAGCATGAGGGAGGGGGATCCAGCTTGCTGCAATCTGCAAGCTCACCACTAGATGCCGCTAAAGTCTTACACAGTGCACCTTTAAATGTGAATTGAGAAGAAATGAACTAGGAAGGAACATGAAATACAGCTTCCAGATTTTTACTATTTAATTTGATATGCGCCAGGCTAGACAATCAGCAGTGTTAAGGCCAATATTTACATACACCGATCAGGCATAACAGCTGGTGTTCTGTAATAGCTACTGTTCTAAATTCAGTCCGTGCTGAAGTTGTCATGGAGACCAAACAGGTAAGAATTCAGAGTTGAGGTATTTCTGTAAAACAGCCCCAGGTTTGGAACATTTTGTTTACCACAGGGTGACAAAAGTGATTTTTTTAAAAATACAGTTCATTTTTGCCTTTGAGAAAACAGCTTCTGTAAACCGGCATGACGCTCAATACAGAACGATGATGATGCAGTGGGTGTGGCTGAGATGAATTATGCAATATTACAAAGAAACTCAAATCTTCTGAGAGTCCTGTATGACTGTCTTGTCATTACTGTCATACATAACATCGGTCTGTGGTCTCGGCTGAAGCAGCGCGAGTGACGATCCTCTTCTCTTCAGGCTGGAACTGTAAATCGCGGTAGTGAGGTGATCGCCGCCGGCATGGTGGTGAACGACTGGTGCGCCTTCTGCGGGCTGGACACCACGAGCACGGAGCTGTCAGTCATCGAGAGTGTGTTCCGGTTGAGTGAGACTCAGCCCAGCGCCATAGCAACCACCATGAGAGACTCGCTGATTGACAGGTACGTCCAGGCCGGTGTGGTTAGAACCACTTCAGTATCGCTTTAGTGTCTTTGCTGAGGAAAACCACAGATTCTCTCAGTTGTCTTTGGTGAAAGCTTTAAGTGGAAGTCTTTGTGTGGCTGCTGGACTGTTTTCAGGGTCCAGCGTAATTCGTCCACTTGGAACTATAAGGTTCTGTCTGTGTTCTGAGCAGTTTGGAGAGATTGAGTTTCAAAGATTTTGGGTTCCACACAGCAAAACTGATGTGGAATGAGTTTCTTTCATACATGAAAATGACAGACAACCTAAATTCTAAATGTACAAAATCAGAATCCTGTAAAGATTTGTGAGTTTTTTTGGAACAGGTCAAATGCAGACAGAACCTTCTAATCATAAGAACTCATTCAGCTTGGACTTATAAGGTTCTATCTGACAAAACATGAAAAGAAGCATCGATTTGCAAGGAACACAAACAGTTTATACTTGTAATTTGTTTTAAAACATACAGTTAGTGTATCAGAGAGTCTACATTATCCGAAAGGTACATTTAATGCTTTCTGACATTTTTATGACATTTATTTTTAAAAATTCTCATTTTAGGATAAATCATCTCTTTCTTATTCAAAAGAGCACTGCAGATTAAGAGTAAAGTTCAGTGCGAAATATTTTGTCCAGTGCAGAGGTCAGTTTTAGGTGGGAATCATTAGTTTAAGTTTTCATTCGTCAGACAGAAACCAGCTACTGTAATGAACTGTCCCAGCAGGTCAGTGTAGCTGGTCAGTCTAAAGGCAGTGTGAGGTTTTGATCAGAAATGGGACTCTAATGAGCCAAAATGTCTTATTTTGGGAGAAAGAAGAAAAATAAAAGATGAAAAGTTAATGTTTGTTGTAATTAAGACCCATCAGTTCAAGTATTTACTATTTAATTACCTTTAAGACTCAATATTTATAAAATTTAAGACAATAAGACTTTTTAAAGGACTGTAAGACGACAGGCAGAGTTTCAGCCACATGTTTTTTTTATGTTTCAGTAAGTTTTATAAACTTTTCCAGCGGTCACTGAGCAGAGCGGTGACATGACAGAGAAGCAGAACCTGATTGGTCCTTTTGTGTGTATTCAGAGTGCTGATTGGCTCACAGATAGAACCTTATAGAACCAAGTAAGAGTTTGACTTTGGGAGATAGAACCTTTTTGCTTTTCTAGATAAAGAGTTAAAAAATGCACACAACAAAAAAAAACACCTCACATGAAATTAAGAAGTTGTCACAGAATAAAAAACGTGAATAACTCAGAACCTTATAATTCCAAGGGGACGAATTGTAAAGGGAAAGAAGTCAGGCTGAGTGTGAAGGATGAGTCTTTCCCAGCGCTTGCAGAGTGCTGCCCAGTAGTGCTGGGCGATAATTACAAAATGCAATATTACAGTAGTTTTTGTCTTTTAAGACAGTTTTAATAAAGGGAATGAGCCTGTGCTTCCTGAGTGATACTACACTAAAATAATGTCTTAGAAACCTTACAGAGCTCTGATTGGACTGTTTTGTTCTGTTTTCTTCTCTTAAAATGAAACCAAATGGGAACCTTACACAGTATTGTAAACGTTCAGTAGACAGAAAAGACATCAGCAGAAAGAAAATTTACTCTTTATTTAATTTTTATGAATTTTCAACTGTTCTTTCAAAACCGTCTGAAGCTCATAGTACACACTGCAGTAATCTGTCAGGTCCAGGATACTGCCAGGTCCAGGATACTGCCAGGTCCAGGATACCATCAGCAAACACACAGAACACAGAACTGAATAACTAAAGTTACAGCAACACCACTATCAGCTGCTTTTTATGAACGTTTCATGATGAATGGACCAATAGAATTTACAGTAACCTAAGAGCTTTTTGCCTTCTGTAAAGTTATTTTGGAAACAGATTTTTGTTTGTTGTGGACAGTAATGATGTCGCTTTTAGCTTTTACCTTTTACCTTTACATCATGCTATACTGGTGTAGATATATGTGTAGAAATGAGTGCAGATTTGACCGTCCTACTGCTCCAAGTCTGATTCAGGACGACGACAAAACAAGCAGCGATTTGAGCTCCGGTGCGTGAAAATAAGCGCCGGTACACGAGTGCCTTATTTACATATCATTTGCAAAAGGCACGCCCCAATTTGCTTTCGTAAGTGCATAATTTACATGTCATTATTTATGCACATACTTCAATTGTGAGCCAATGAAACAAAAGTATTCAGCAGTTCATGAGCCAGTGGTTGTTCACAAGTGCACTGCTCCCCCTACTGGCCAGAGCATAAATACCTGACCTTTTTTCAGATAAAGTGGTGTGATTATTTTCAGAAAACACTGGCTGCTTGAGTCATCAGCTGTGTCCCAATTCAGCCACGAAGGCTGAACCGAAATGAGACAGTCTGCTCCACAGCGGGTTCCTGTTTGCACCACAGCACCGCTGTTCCCACGCTTACCATTGCGTCACGAAACGCCGCTCCTGTCAAGTGCTTTTAAAGTTTTTTAAAGATGGAGCCAGAAACGTTAATTTTATTTATTTTTATCTATAATTTTTTTCATTTATTAGAGCTGGAGATGCTTCTCTTTGTCGGCTCTTTGCTCCCTGAACAAAACGAAACGTTAGCGTAACTTTGTCTTCAGACCACATTGGCTTTTTTCCACATTTGTATCGTTCGCTATTCGACTCAGTTTAAGCCCAGTAATTAAAGTGTCTCCCCAGCCACCTCGCTCCTCTGCTGACACCGCCATATTCTCGAATCCTCGCCGGCACAGAATTAACCCCTGTTGGATCCTTTGTTGCCGTGGAAAAGGACACATTTCTCAGCTGCATATGAAATGGGACAGCCTAGACGCGCGGTTGTGACGCAGTCAGCCCCTGAATTGGGACGCTGCTGTAATATTGCAGTATATGAGCTTGTACTGTACTGCTAAGCTATGTTATGTATTATTAGGGAGTGTCGTACTGTATCAGTAGTACAAAGCAAAAGTCTTTAAATGGAAGTTACAGTCGCAGCATTTGTTTACATCATTGTGCAAAGTTACTAGTATTATCATGGGCCTCATTCACCAAAGCGTATTTTACTGTTATTGACAGTAATTTTGTTATGGACAGTTTGGTATTATTTAACTGCAAATCAAACCGGGTCAAATTTAAACTACCAAACGCGTTTGATCCTACAGATACACCAAAGATGAACCTGATGAATAAGAAAACTGATGGTGAAATTTGTGTGCACTTATTTTACGATCAGATTTGTCCGTACTCTGCTTTAAAGATATAAGGGTCCGTATATCGTCCAGCCCTGCTGGGAAGATCGCTGTTGATGTATTTCCAATGCTGATGGGAATCTTTTCATTCTTGTTTTTCAGCCTTACATAAACTGTACATGGATTTACGATGATTTGGAACTGGCTAAATACAAGATAAGGATGTGGACATCAATTGGAAAGTTCACCCCTCTTCCTCGACACGCCTCTCTCCGACGGACGGAGATGCTCTTTATACCACATGGAAACTTTGTAAGATTATAGTATGAACTGGTAATGTCAGACCAGATTTGTTGTATGGAATGTAAAGGCTAAGTATGTAATCTGTTGACATGTGCCAGATCTAATCCTGCAGAACAAAATGCAAGAAACTAACTTTACCATGTGAAGTTATCATTGTTAGGTATCAAATATCCAGCGGTTCGTCGTTTTAATGTCACTTCCATTTCCTTAAAAGCAGTGCACAATAAAGCCTTTCATGGTCAACACTCACTGAAGCTTGAATTCATGTTACAGTGTGTCAGTTTTCACCACTACACTGTTATTTAACTGTTGCCTTCTTCCAAAGACAATAGCCACGTTTACATGCAGCCATTAATAATCCGACTAATAGCTCAGTCGGAATACGTCCATGTAAACACCTCAGTCTGAATAGTCTAGTCTGATTGAGGCCATTCAGAATACAGTTTCTATCCGACTGATCGAGGTGGGTAATCCTGTAAATAATCCGTTAAATAGAAGAATAATATCCGTGTAAACGCCTGTATCTGATTACATTCCCAGTCGGAAAGTTTAAGTCCGTTCTGATCATGTTCGTCACGTCACAGTGAAAGTTTATACCGTTCAACATGTCGGAGCAGAAACTGGTCTGCAGAGGAGACGAAGTTTATGCTCTGATCTTTAAAAGACGGCGGTGGGACGGACGTCCAGCTTATGTGTCTCAGAAGACGACATCTTCCTCTCGGCCTTCTTTAATAAGGACATGTGAAGGACATGCGAAACGTTCTCCCCCACCCCCCGTTCTGTCAAAAACAGCACTGCTAAACAGCAGAGGGCGACCGTGAGCGAGTCCTCAGTGAATGGGAGTGAATGGAGCTCAACGGCTAAAAAAAAAATAGTTTCTAATCACTGAACCAGAACTTTCCTTTAATTTTAGACAGTAGAAGGATTTATTTCACTAAAAAAGCAAAGAAATCTCACCTGTATGTTTCCTTTTTTTCTACAGCAAATGGGTTTTGGGCTGCAGAAGGCGGCTGTTACTGCTACTGAGAGCTGATTGGTTGGCGAGCGGAGCAGCTCATTGGCTGTTCGCACTCAGACGTCATGAATATACATGAGGCGCTGTTTTAAACTCCTATAACTCGAGTTTAAAAGCTCTTAAAAATATAACAGCAGTGTTAAAATGTTTTATGCTGTTCTGTGTTCAGGAAATGAATGAATTCTTTTACATTAAAAATGTTTAAACATTTATAAACTATGATTTTACTCAAAAGCTCCATATCAACCCATTCATTTTGGACTCACTCAGGAGCGCCCCCTCTAGCGTTAGAGAAACCTGGAAGACATTGGAAATTCTCCTCTCTACGTCTACACTACGTGGTGCTGTGCGCATGCGTGTCATTCTGGATCTGGAATAAACACCTCAGTCTTAATCTATAATCAGATTGGCAAAAGTTTTTGCTTGTAAACAGCCGTTGTAGATCACATTTACAGGGAATTGCCACCAAATTTTGTACTCAATTCAGTGGTTAAGATGTAAATGCTGTCATTCAGGTACAGAATACACAGAAAACATGAATACATTTTTGACGAGTGGTTTGATATGAAAAGGTTCATTGTAGAGAAACTTATTGATATTTTACTTACTATCCAAAACCACCTGTGATCCAACACCAGTCTTGAGTTTTTATATGTAATGCTGTTGATGGTAAAATAGTGATTAATTAGGTTTCTTTGAGGACTGTTTTGCTTTAAACTGCATGTATCCCTCCACCATGAATGGACTTCAAAAATCTTATGCTAAAATCTTCTCAAAATTAGAATATTATAAACAGGGGTGGTAATACTACAAGTATTACAAGTACTTCTTTACTGTACTTAAGTCATTTTTTTAGGTATCTGTACTTTACTTGAGTATTTATCACTTAATACTTTTTACTACATCCAACAGTATCAGTATCAGTATCTCCCTTCACATATCAGCTGTTTGATTTAACTTTCATGTCGTCTTCATTTGGGTCTGCCTGCTGTGTCCAGGTCTGAAAACAAGTCTCCCTCCGTTCCTGGCCGTACTTAAAGGATTTATTTGATCTGATGTTCAGTACTGACTGCTAAAATAAAAATGGACAGTTTTTTTTTTTAGTAGAGATTCCAACAATATCCATCTCTAATTCTTGTAAAGAAAAGCAAACATGTAAACGTTTTTGGGTTCTCAAGATAAGTGGATTTTCGTGGATGATGCCTGCGGTTCTAGTATAAACCAATATATACGCTCAGTTTAATGGACCCTCATAAAAAGATGCTTTTTTTGAGATTTTTAATGAAAAAATGTTTAAGTACATTTATAAGCATGTGCTTTTATACTTCTATTTAAATAAAAAATCACACTAAAAAGTCACACTTCAACTTTTACTTAGTATTTTTACTGGATTAAAGGGCATTCACATTGTTTTATTGATCATAAAACAATGTGAATTCATAACCATTTCATGTAGTAACTTTCTGTGAGGGAGCTTTTAGAGGTGGACGTCTGGTTCCTATCACCACCACTGTGAACAATTCTGACTCTCTAAAATGGAGCGTTTCCATTAAAATACCAAATAAAGACAGTGAGGACATCAGGAGGGTTTGTTTGATATGTTTTACTGCCGTAGTAAATATGTCAAGCTGGAACACAGTGAAGAGGATTGTGGGAAAATGTGAAAGTGCTGTAGCGTGCAGCTTCACGCTGTGGTCGTTTGTTTCTTTGGTGCTTTGCTTTTTGTACATCTTCTGCAGCAATCACATTCAAGCGTGGTTTAGAGACACAACATTTAAAAACAATCATATAAAAAAAGAAGGGGGGGTGTACTTATGGTGAAAATCAAACGTCTTCGCTTAAAAGCAGTAGCATATAAAAAATGAAAAGAAAACAAAGGCATAAAAGTTTCTTTATGGCTTTTCAGAGCTGCACAGTTTCAGAATACACAATAGAAACATGCAAATTTGGGTCACAGACAACAAATACAACAGGAATAAATGTCTTAACCCTCTAGTGCACAATGTTGCCTCAGGGCAACAAAGCAATTTTACAATAACATCCATATTTAAAGACAACGACAGGGTTAACAATAAAGGGAACAGTTTGAGTAAGTCACTAAAAAGCATGTTCCTGGTCATACTGTCTCTTAGTGGGCACTTTTAAACCTCTTTAACATTCACCGTCCATTTTTCTTTGTTATGAGAATTTGCAGAAATGTATTTGTTGCCTAGAAGCAACACTGTGCGACACTGGAACGGATTTGACCCGGGCCAGGTCTCACGGGCCAGGTCTCACCACTTCAGGGAACACGCCTGTATATCATTTCTTCCCATTGTCACACAATGTTGCCTTAAGGCAACATACCCCAAAATGACCCCTCCACATATTATTTTGTAAAAAATGTTCTGATATGTAATAATCAGGTCCATTTTATGCAAGAAAAGTGGATTGCATATATATTTTTTTAAATTGCTGTCGTAAAACGTGCAGTAGAGGGTTAAATGTAACAAATGGAATGAACCTTATAAAGCCACATCATAAACATGAGTAATAAAAAGCAAACTACTGTGTAAAAATAAAAAGTGGTAACACATAGAAGGAAATACAAGGCGTTCCAAGTGACAAACAGAATGATGACCTTAATTTCTGGTGACCACTGATTTTGCACTGTGGTGCCGTCTCATATTCAGAGACACGGTGATCAGACTTGTCACCTGTTTGGTGTCCCCAGGCCTTCAAACGATCTTAGAAGTACAATACTTTTGGACCCAGTGCTGGAAGTGCAATGTTCCCTGTTCCTCTTGACCTTCACACCTACACTTTACGTCCAGAACCGTCCAGACGGTCCTTCTAAGGGCTGATTTCAGAAACTTAAAGGTGCTGATATAGAAGTTGACTTCTATAATCTCCATACAAAAGCATTAACTACATTTTTACAGGGTGTTAACAGTGAGTTCGTGCTGCAGTAACAGCCTCTACTCTTCTGGAAAGGCTTCTAGATGTTGGAACATTGCTGTGAGGATTTGATTGAGCATTAGTGAGGTCAGGTACTGATTTTGGATGGTCAGTTCTGGATCAAGCTGACTCGGCACTGGGCAGAGCATCCCATTCTATTGCACTCTTAAAAAAATGGTGCTTCAAGATTTCTTTAGTAAAGAAAATGGTTCTATATAGAACCATGAACACTCAGAGAACTTTTTGCATGGTTAGAGGGTTCTTTGCATCATAAAATGGTTATTCAGATGGACAAAGAATGTGCTGTAGATGGTTCTATATAGAACCTTTTTGAAAATGGTTCTATATAGCACCCAAAAGGGTTCTGCTATTGTTACAGTGTCAAGCTTTGAACAATAGCAGAACACTTTTGGGTGCTATATACAATCATCTATAGCACATTGTCCATTAATCTGAAGAACCGTTTCCTGTCGCAAAGAACCCTTTAATCATGCGAAAAGTTCTCTGAGTGTTCATGGTTCTATATAGAACCATTTTCTTTACTAAAGAACCCTCGAAGCACCATCTTTTTTAAGAACGCAATAGAATGGGATGCTCTGCCCAGTGCAGATAGTCAGCTTGATCCAGAACTGACCATCCATCATCAGTACCTGACCTCACTAAAGCTCAATCAAATCCTCACAGCAATGTTCCAACATCTAGAAGCCTTTCCAGAAGAGTAGAGTCTGTTACTGCAGCACAAACTCACTATTAACACCCTTCATTACAGAAGAAACGCTGGAGTCTCTCTGGAGTCCAGTTTCCTTCATTACTACAGTTCTACAGTCACTCCTCTGTAACTACAGCTGTATAGCAGGGTTTAACAACGCAGTTGAACATTTACAGTGAGCAGTACAGTTTATAGAGTGTTTATAATGTCAGTTCTCCAAATCCTTACCTCAGCTTTAGGGATGCACAATCAGGATCGGCTTAAAATCGGCAGATTTTTGGGTAACACTTTATTTGGATGGTCCACTTCGGATGCTTTGAGCTTTATTTAGTTTTTCATTTTGATTTCAGTTTAGCTTCAGTTAGTTTTAGGGGTGCAGTAATAGATTCAGTTCAGTTTAGTTTCAGTTTTAGTTGTTAGTATTATGATGGCGGCTGTAATATAATTGATAAGAGCAGAATAAAACGAACGCAGCAGACTGAGCTTCAGCTCGGCTCCAGCTTTCGATAAAGACAGCTGAACACAGAAGAGTTTCACTCTAAACTTTCATTCACACACTGAAAAAAAACTAAAACTAAAGTTTTCGTCTCAGTAGTTCTGTTTTGTTTTAGTCTGATTTTTTTAGTGGACATTATAGTTTTGATTTTGTGTTTATTCTGTCATTTTTATCTTCATTACAATTAACCAGCACATTTTTTCACTGCTAGTTTTTGTTTTAGTGACAGTTTTAGTGAACTATAATAACCCTGCCCACACCTGTCGCCTCCAACCTTCACTATAGCACTTTATTTGACTCGTTATTTCAATAGACAGCCGATTTGAGTTTAAAATGCCAGTTTGGCTAATTTAAGAGCAAATAATGTTATTTAAATTGTGACGTTGGGCTAACAGAAAGTCTGAAATGTGTTCATTTTGCCCACAGTGTGAGCTTTGGATTATCCGTCTGCAAAGAAATTGGAATCTGCCGTAACAAGTCATGATCGGTGCATCCCTACAAAGCTTAGGTGTCCAAATAAAACCTCCTGAAAATAAAAGGCAATAAAATAAGATGAAATGCTTTGGATATGATGATATTTATCACGTCACAATCTATATGCTTTCAGCAATAAAGGTAACTATGCAGTACAATACAGTAACACAATGACTTCGGCTGAGTACACGATAATCTGCAGCTGGAGTTTGAAGTGAAAGACACAAGCGTGGGTCATTCTTAAGGCTAGAAAAGGCCAGTGATCTATTTACCAGCATAATGAAACTAATTCTAAAACATCTTAATCTACATTTCCTCATCCAGCATATTTTGTTGCTCTCAAGCACTCAACACAAACTGGGACTCCTTAGTGATTTATCTATAAGTGCTCATGGCCATTAGCTACCCAGAGTACATCAATGTTCTCATAAAAAGAAGATTTTTACCCAGCGATCCAAGCTGTGGTCCTTGCTGATAGCAGTCAGTGGTCCAATCTGCTCATATTGCTTAATATTCTCCATACAGTGAGCTCCAAAGGTTTGACAAACAAACGACGAAGATGATTCTAATGTGTGGTGCTGAAATCTGTGTTCTAGAGTTCATATGTGGTTGATTTAGTGAGAAATATGTTTTAATTAAATCATATTAACCCTTATAAGCACTATTAAATTCCAATTTCAAAGAGTTAAAGCGCACGGATACGACAAAAAAAGCCATTCCTGAAACTTTTGGAGCTCACTGTAAATGCACCCACACCTGAACAATCACAGCTCTCTGTCTGAAATTCCCAGCAGTACTGATACTACTAACATTTCAGAACATTAAACATCCTAAATGTAACACAGTCGGTACTTTGATAAGCATCTATGATCCCCTGCTTACATGGATATTGGCAATTTTAAAATTCAGATATAATACTCTTCTTGTAAGCCTACTCATATTTCACTAATAAACAATACTGGGCCTGTAAACCACATTACACCATCAGTCAGTCCATCAGTCCATCAGTACGAGCAGGCAGAGAAAGGAGAGCACGGGAAGGCATCGGTGTGATAAGTTGCATCGGTGACCTCGAAGGAAGGTCAGAGTGAAGCGTGTTCAGCTAGTTGTTCTCTTCCTTCAAGTCAAACCTGAAATTGGGAAAATAAAAAGGCTCGTTAGACAAGCAATGTTTTCAGAGTTAAACTAGTGTCATGGTGTCTTTATGCATAAATGTGTCTGTGATTTATTTTAACTCGGATATAAATACGAATTATTGTATCTTACATTGATCAAATGTATTCATAAAGAAGATCTGAATTTCTGTTCATACAAAGGATTCTTCAAAATGTTTTTGCTCTTTGATGAGAAATAAACAGTGGTATATCCATTCGTTATAGGTTTAATGTAACGAATAATGATTGTGACAACCAGCCCCGCACAACATGTATTCAAAACCTAAAATCTCATCATACAAGTAAAACAACTACAGTGGCTGGAAAGTTTGTGAACCCTATAGAATTTTCTAGATTTCTGCATAAATTTGACCTAAAACTTAACACCTAATAGTAGATAAAAAGAACCAAATTAAACAAATGAGACAAAAATATCTGACTTGGTCATTTATTATTAAATGTTTATATATTTATAGTAAATGTTTGCTGCATGACAGAGTTCATTGTTCCATCGATGATGCCAAGCCATCCTGGCCCAGACGCAGCAAAACAGGCCCGAATCATGATACTACCACCACCATGCTTCACAGATGGGATAAGGTTTTTATGCTGGAATGCAGTGTTTTCCTTTCTCCAAACATAACCAAACCAGAACAGGACCAAATTAAACAAATGAGACAAAAATATTAGACTTGGTCATTTATTTATTGAGGAAAATGGTCTAATATTTCATATCTGTGAGTGGCAAAAGTATGTGAACCTTTAGGATTAGCAGATAATTTAAAGGTGAAATTAGAGTCAGGTGTTTTCAATCAATGAGATGGCAATCCGGTGTGAGTGACCACCCTGTTTTATTTAAAGAACAGGGATCTGTCACAGTCTGATCTTCACAACAGATGTTTGTGGAAGTGTATCATGGTACAGACAAAGGAGGTTTCTGAGGAGCTCAGAAGAAGAGCTGTTGATGCTCATCAGGCTGTAAAAGGTTACAAAACTCCACCAATCACAGTTAGACAGACTGTGTATAAATGGAGGAAATTCAAGACCCTCGTTACGCTCCTCAGGAGTGGTCGACCAACAAAGATCACACCAAGACCAAGGCGTGTAACAGTCCATGAGGTCACAAAGGAACCCAGGGTAACTTCTAAGCAGCCTGTCTCACAGTGGTTAATATTAATATTCATGAGTCCACCATCAAGAAAACACTGAACAGCTATGGTGTGCATGGCAGGGTTGAAAGGAGCTGCTCTCCAAAAAGAACACTGCTGCCTGTCTGCAGTTTGCTAAAGATCACATGGACAAGCCAGAAGGCTACTGGAACAATGTTTTATGGATGGATGAGATCAAAATAGATCTTTCTGATTTAAATAAGAAATGTTATGTTTGTAGAAAGGAAAACACTGCATTCCAGCATAAAAACCTTATCCCACCTGTGAAGCATGGTGGTGGCAGTATCATGATTTGGGCCTGTTTTGCTGCATCTGGGCCAGGATGGCTTGAAACAATGATCGAAACAATGAACTCTGAATTATACCAGCTAATTCTAAAGGAAAATGTCAGGACTTCTGTCCGTGAGCTGAACCTCAAGAGAACGTGGGTCATGCAGTAAACATTTACTCAATAAATAAATGACAAGTCTAATATTTTTGCCTCATTTGTTTAATTTGGTTTTCTTTATCTACTATTAGGACTTGTGTGAAAATCTGATGAAGTTTTAGGTCAAATTTATGCAGAAATACAGAAACTTTTAAAGGGTTCCCAAACTTTCAAGCACCACAGTACGTAATGTTTAGCTAGTTATTTTTTGTGCAGGGCATTTTGAACTTCCATTACATCTCAGTCTGGCTGATATTAACTATTTGATTTGTGAGATAAGAGAGCCAGAGTGAAATGTTCCCAACTGTGACTAGAAGTTCGAGGTAATTTTCTGCTGAAACTTGTTACAGAAATGCCTTTAAAGCCATTATAAGGGCAAATAGTGGCTTTCCGTGATTCCCAAGATCAGACCGTTTTCCAGACCATTTCCTTTCTCATGTTTTGTTTTTAACAGCAATATACACAACATAAAAATTACTCAGATAAATCAGAATATTCCTGCAGAAGTACTGACATGATGACCATGGTGAAAAGATGAATTGACAATGTACACAATTTTATTTCATGGTTTTCTAGAATTGCAGTGTTATTCACTGAGTCTATAACTGATAGGCTGTGTACGTCTGTGTATGCGTCACATAACTTACCACTGTGTGACACCTGAGAGGAGGTCAACCTGCGCCAGATCTATTTGCAGCTATAAAGATAAAGTTTATCATTAATTTCACAAAAATGACAGCAAGTTTAACAGTAATCACATAATACAAAATGCTAATATGTGGAATAAGAGAAATACATGGAGGAAAAACTTTGTAAGCTTCTATATTTACCCCTTAAAAAGCCACGGGCCCGACAGTGGGCACAAACTTTTATTACACATCTATAACCTAAGAATAACTCAACCTGTTGGCACTGGAGTCCCTGTAGTTACTGAATAATAAGCCTTAATATGTAATAAGCCTGGGATTTTCAGGGGATCAGCAACGACGGTGACAGGACGTGTCCCGTTCCGGTGATGGGAGTGAATTATCTACTACTGTCATCATATCTTGTATCTAAAGACGTACGACATGGAGTGAAAAACCCCCGACTCGACGCCTCTGACTTTTAAATGATCATTTCGGGCTTTGCAGGGCGACTCGAAGCAGCGCACGCTCACCATATTTTAGCCTGTTTAACGATAATGCTTTCACTTATTAATGAGAGTACTTAAGTGTTATTTTGGAAGATTTTTTCAATTCCAATATTATTGAAATTCAATATTCTATTATTCAATTTTGGTCCATTCATCATAAAATTTACACACAGTGGAAAAGGGCAGCAGGAATATGTCAAAAATTGAAAAACGACAAAAATGGAGATATGAGGTTTTGTTCCGACAGCAGTGCTATGCTACTCACGCATTAGTCACCACATCACAGAAAACGGGTCCTTATCCTTAAGTTTATTTGTTAAAACATTTACTTTCGGGCAGGCCTGTGACAATCATGAAACGTTAGCTGAGCATTAACTGCCATGTAAATAATAATTAAATGATTAATAATTTGTCTTTTTTGTTCATTGGATGTAACTAGTACAAGCTTGAAGTGACCAAATTGGCTTCTCAGCTATGTTTTCTTGGCAGTTAACAGGTTGTACTGACTTTAAATGCTACACTACACTGTTGTTTGCAGCACAGACACAAATCACGTAGCGTCAAACAAAGCGACATTTTCTCTTGAGTAAGCAAAACACTCGCTCTGCTAGCATACATGCTAAATACATCAGAATTAGCTACACAGCTAACAAGGAAAACACTGTCACTCACAGTGCCCACTAAATGTGTTAGAGCACCAAGTTAGAAGTTAGAAATGTTCTTGTTTTCACTGAACATCTGATTATGAATTTACATGAATTTGTCTTTCTTTTATTTTTTGCATTTTCCCCCAAATTAGTCGTATCCAAATCCACCCACTAGTCAGGACCCAATAACGCAATACCACCAGCGCTACCACCAGGCTTCCTCTGAGACCTGTGAAGCGCCACAGCATCTGTTCGAACTGCCGCTCATGCAACGGGACTGGACAGCCGAACGCGCTCGGAGGAAAGCGCCAACCGCCAGATCTGTTACGCCAGCCAACAAACGCCTGCGCTGACTAGCATCACGCTGGGTGTTGGGGGAGAGGGGTGGGCCATCCTACCCACCCAGAGAGAGCGAGGACTCTGGCCACGGATGTAATGTAACGACAATACAACGACTCAGACCGTGGAAAATGACTGCAGTCAGCTTAAATCACTGCAATCATCCCAAACAGCTGTGATTAGGTGATGTGATGATTGAGACAGGCCTACTTTCAGGAGAACAAACACTGTCAAAGAGCCATCGATGCTCTCTAATGAAACCTAGGACAACACAGTGAGAGCGTCCATTCACCGACTGACCTGACCAATGACGTCTTTGTCTCGGCTCATGAAGGACGAGCTGTGCTTCAGACACACACTCAGCACCCGCTGCCGAGCATCGTCCACGCTCAGATCGAACTCGAACCTGAGGAACCATTCAGTCAGCATTATAGACTGAACAAACATCTGTCACTGTGTTTTAAAGGGAAATTCCTCTGATCTTCTGAATATTTAAATCGTTGTGATGTAAACAAAGTAAATCAAAGGGGTTTAATATGAAATGCTTCACTTTAAAGTCAGAACTGTTCACAGTGGTGGTGATAGGAACCAGACGTCCACCTCTAAAAGCTCCCTCACAGAAAGTTACTGCATGAAATTTTTAAAAAACACACTGCCTGACGTCTCAGACACTGTTTCATTAAGCTCTGTAGGTGAGATTTTGGCTTGAAACCTATTTTTAAAATCCATTCATGGTGGAGGGATACATGCAGGGTGTTGTGAGGCAAAATAGTCCCTGAAGAAAACTTATTATTTCAGATTTTCCACTATTTTTCCATCATCAACATTCCATATAAACTCAGTAGGTTCACTGGTGGTTCTGGATAGTAAATAAAATGTCTATATCTGTGTTGTAGTCATGGCGACCCCTGGTTCCTATCACCACCACTGTAAAGACGTCTGAATGATCATCTTAAAGACTGAATTATGTGTAATTTAGAAAAATCAGTGGAATTCCCCTTTAAGGAAACTTTTACACTGTAAAACATTTTACATCATCTTGCAAATACTAACATAAGCTGTTCATAAATACTGAAGTACTGCTTTATAAATACACTTCTATGCCAAAGTTTGAATTCACATTCACATTAAGCCAAACAATGTTTTGTTGACACATCCTCAACAGAAAATCCACCTGAATATGACATTTCTTTCCAAAAATTTAGTGCACAACTTTTGTTTATTTGCTTTAGTTGCTGAGTTTAACATATTGGAAAAAACAAAATGTGAAGTATAAAATATGCCATAACTTTTGCACAGACCGCATTTCATGTTTTATTTTTTCCCAATATGTTACATTTAGCAAATAGACAGTAATTGTGCATCAAAATGTGCAGAAGTGTGTCTCTGTAGAGGATCTTAACTTATTCACTCTCAGAAAATCAACAAAACATGGAATTTGACGGCGCTGAGACTTCTGAATATGACTGTATTCAGTGATTGTGTATGCGTTATGACGTCCCTCGGAAAGCCACCTTCAGATGTTACCAAGGGAACGTAAAGTACTTCTCTGATACACAAACACATAAATGTAAACCTCTGAAATCGACCTGAAACGAAGAGAACGTTCTGTCTCTCAGACGTTTACGCGACTCCTCCGTACCTCTCGTTAAACTCCGGCTCCAGGTCTTTCTTCTTCACGGCCGTCTTTCTCTTCGTGGCCTTGTTTTTATCTGGCAGGAGAATCAGCGAGACGTAGGTGTCTAAACCCTCTTTGGATGATGAGACCAGGCTTCTAAACACACACACACAAATACAAAGATCACCCTGACGCTCTGCTGCAGTTCACTTTCAAACGTCAATCGAATGAAGATTGATTATCTAAAATAACAGCAAACTAAATGCAGTTCTGCGCTCTTTAGCACTTAAACTAGCACTGGAGGTGTAACGATACATACATTTCACTATACAATACATATTGTCGTTCTCGCATCACAATACGGTTCATTTTATACATTTTAGCAAAGGAAATACTAAAATTAATTTATTCATTTATTTATTTATTCACTTACTAGTATTTTTTGTCATTCTTGCTGCAACAGTGCTTTTTGAAGGGAAAACTCGAAAGTCATTTACTCAGAAGACATAAAATAAATAAATATAATAATTAGAGTTTCATTCCAAAATGCTGTGTAACAATTAGTAATTTTGGATATAGTGAATTTTTTTAAACAACAACATTTCGCTGCTGTCGAAACAAAACCTCGTATCTCCACTTTTGATGTTTTTCACTTTTTGACAATCTGAAAATGCCAGTTGTCCTTTACATTGTCTGTAAATTTCATGATGAATGGACCAAAAGAAACGACCCAAAATGACTTGAAAAAAAGTCTGGTTCCATTGACTTACATTAAACTTAAAGTATGTTTTTTCCTTCTCCTGTAAAGTGACCATTTTGGACATACGAGGTTTTGCTCCAACAGCAGTGATATGTAGGTTTACGTCAGTCACTCTGATGAGCTTATGCAGGCGTCATGTAGGCTAACGAATACTGCCCTTACCAAACGTACCAAACTGCTATAAAGGAAAGCATAAACTTTGTTTCCAGCACCTACAGTTCATGAACAACCAGCCGAGAGTGTCAGGAGTGCAGATGTTATAACTCACCCCATAGGCGGGGTTAACTCTAACAGACTGAGGGGCGAGTTGTAACAGTCTGGCAAGTTTATGCAATAATATTCAACACAATTTTATGTTGTTTGAACCATTCAAACCATATTACACACACCAAGAGGAGATCAGGTAACACTTCATTTGGATGGTCCACTGTAGATTCTTTATAAATGTTCAGTATGTATTTAAGTAACATTCAACTAAATATCCATTAAATTCAGCTGAACTTCAAGTTCAGTGTGAGTTTCTGAAATATACCTCTAATCCTGATCCTCACCAACCAGCTGAACATCACCAGAACGTTTGTTAATACTTTAAGTATCTGTAGAGCATCTATAGGGGTCCATCCAAATAAAGAGTGACCGGAAATTAAAATAATATAGGAGTGAATTCTGAGATTTACACTCAAACCCCACACAGTACCACTAATCACACGCTCTCAATATGACAACTCAAAAGGACAAAGATCTAGAACTGCGATACAAGAACAGACCTGCAACCGTGAACGACAACAGCGAGTTTCTTCTGGTGGGACAGTGAGATTTTGATCTGCCCAGTTGTGGCCGCCTGCTTATTGCTCAACACAGGACCAGCACCAAGCGCCATGAGGGAAGCCATCTTGGAGTTCAAGACCTGAGTTCAAACAGAGACAAACAGGGTCAGAGTTCACTGCAGAGAGGCCTTTTACACACTCATCCTGGCTTTGCACCACTATCTATCTACCTGTGCATCCGTCTATCTATCTATCTATCTATCTATCTATCTATCTATCTATCTGTCCGTCCATCTATCTATCTATCTATCTATCTATCTATCTATCTATCTATCTTTCCGTCCATCTATCTATCTATATATCTATCTATCTATCTATCTATCTATCTATCGATCTATCTATCTATCTATCTATCTATCTATCTATCTATCTGTCTGTCCATCTATCTATCTATCTATCTATCTATCTATCGATCTATCTGTCCATCCGTCTATCTATCTATCTATCTATCTTTCCGTCCATCTATCTATCTATCTATCTATCTATCTATCTATCGATCGATCTATCTATCTATCTATCTATCTATCTTTCCGTCCATCTATCTATCTATCTATCTATCTATCTATCTTTCCGTCCATCTATCTATCTATCTATCTATCTATCTATCGATCTATCTGTCCATCCGTCTATCTATCTATCTATCTATCTTTCCGTCCATCTATCTATCTATCTATCTATCTATCGATCTATCTGTCCATCCGTCTATCTATCTATCTATCTGTCCGTCCATCTATCTATCTATCTATCTATCTATCTATCTTTCCGTCCATCTATCTATCTATCTATCTATCTATCTATCTATCTATCTATCTATCTATCTATCTATTTTTCCGTCCATCTATCTATCTATCTATCTATCTATCTATCTATCTATCTATCTATCTATCTATCTATCTTTCCGTCCATCTATCTATCTATCTATCTATTTATCTATCTATCTATCTGTGCATCCGTCTATCTATCTATCTATCTATCTATCTATCTATCTGTGCATCCGTCTATCTATCTATCTGTCCGTCCGTCCGTCCGTCTATTTTTCTCTCAGATCAGTTCTTTCCAGGTCTATAAAGCTGGCCTCATATTGCCCATCAGTCCTGCCAGTCTGGGATTGTGAGAGCTGCACGCTTCAGTACCTTCAGCTGTGCTCTCAGCAGGATCTGACTCTCAGGTAAAGCTCCATCCAAACTCAGCCACCGGTCCAGCAGCAGCTCTGGCTGAGAGAGCAGCTCTCTCATTGGCAGGACCAGAGAACCCATAGGCTGATCCCACCCACTGGAGAGCTGTGTGGAAAGATTAAAGATTATAAACTGGACTGGACAGTGGATTTTCAGATATCTGTTCACATTTCCAGCTTGGAGCAGAGAAAACATGTCAACACGTTACTGAAGACACACATCTACATAAACATTTGTGACAAGATATAAACCGACATAAACTTTTATAAAGGCTTATTATATAATAAGTCTCAGCTGTCATAATAATAATAATAATAATAATAATAATAATAATAATAATAATCATCATCATCATCATCATAACAATAATAATAGTAATAATAGTAATAATAATAATAATAATATCAGGATCATTTTTGTCCACATTTCTCATCAGCAGGTGTTATGAAAATTAATGCTTGTTGGAATAAGCCTTTATAAATGTCTATCCAGGTTTATGTCATTTGTTATGAAAGGCTTATTTACCAGTGAATGCAAAAGTTTGAACACTCCTAGTCAAGTTACATGTTTTCTTGATTTTCTAAGGTAAAATATGTGACCACATCCTCTAAATAGAACACAAATATGATATATTTCTGCTTATTTTAATAAACAAATTATATTTATTTGCTGAGTTTAACATAATGGGAAAAATAAATATATATAAATATATAAACTGTGCCATACTTTTTCCCAATATGTTAATTCCAGCAAATAAACAGTGTTTGTGCCTTAAAGTGTGCAGAAGTGTTTTCTCTGTAAAGGATGAGTTTATTTACACTTAATTTAACGTAAAAAATCAAAAACAAAAACAAAACATGTAACTTGACCTGGAGTGTTCAGGACTGTAGACAGTCCTTCACTAAAGTGTCACTGATAAAAATATTTTATTAGTGTTTTAACATATTTTCATATATAAACTAACTTTAATTTTTGAAGCATATTCTGAATTAAAACGCAAACCACACCTGTGATCTCAATCTTCAAATGCATGAAAAGAATTTCCTGAATTCTTTCATTGACACTGCAGCACATATTTAAATAAACACTGTTGATGATCAGTCATTTATAAGATTGTTTTCTGTTTATAAATGTCTGTCCCACATTTATATGCCCAAATATATACTTATATAATATACACAATATACATAAAAAATATGCCTATATTACCTAAAGTAACAATTTTTAAAGTAGAATAAACCTAATTTTGGGAAACTGAAGTTGGCCAAACAGCATCGAGACAGAAGCGTGGAAAATCTAACCTGGAGACTCACAGTATTCACAGAAAAGCAAATATGTTCATATTCAGTGATATAAGCATGTACTTACCATGCATTTATAACTAATGTGCTTTGATTTAGACTTTCAATACAAGATCACATTCGTGCTAAACTGAAATATACTAGCGCTTGTCTGCTAAAGCTAACGCAATTTGCCATTTATACTCAGCAAGAATGAAAATGTGCTTCTACAGTGACGGTGTACACAAAATTTCAGAAATTATAAGCTACTTTGCATTATGATGGCATTTTAGGGCCACTGATAATAAAAATAAAAATAGTAGACTTCGAGAATAAAGTTGTAATATTTTGAAGAAAAACTAGTACAGTATGATATTTCGAGAAAAAGTCGTAATATTTCAAGAAAAAAACTGAATATTTTATGAAAAACTCGTACGATATGATATTTCGAGAATAAAGTCGTAATATTACTGCCACTTTAATGTTGACTTTTTTCTGGAAATATTGTGACTTTATTCTCAAAATATTATGACTTTTTTTCTCAAAATATTCCAACTTTATTCTCGAACTATAACGACTTCATTCTAGAAGTCTACTATTTTTACTTTTATTAACAGTGGCCCTAAAACGCTGTTGTATTGCATAGATCATTATTTGTATTACAGTCTGATAATTAAAGGCCCATAAACTGCATTTTTCTTGTTTTTATCTATTTCCTTTAGATCTGCTGACAGCACGTGTAGGTTTATGTACCAAAAACAGTCATCATTTACTTTTTTTGAACTTCTCTTCAACCCTTAAACAGGCTGTTTTGGTTACAATGCCTTTAAGACTTATATATATATGTAAATGACCTCTGTTCTGATTGGCTGTCCTGTTTTGTCTGTCAAAGCAGAACTAAAACACCACTTATAATTTCATGAACAGGGGGCTAAACTGAGAGAAAAGGATGATATGTAAATGTGGTGGTTTTTATGATGTCACAAAAACAATAAATTCAAATTAGGCTGTTTTTGTAGCTTAGACTCCATGTATAGACTGTATAGACCAGTGAGTGATATATTTAGAAACTTCACTAATGTGTACAAATCTTTTGGTTAAAAAATAAAGTAAGTAAAATTAGCTTTTCCTTGGGACCCTTAAATTAATTTCTGGTCCATTTTCAAAACATTTCGACAGCAGAAGCAGCCTTATATGGATAAATCTGAACTTCCAAATACTTCACCTTAATAACCAGCATGTCTTTGCTCGGATCGTGAACGAGGAAGTTGAATGCTTCATGCCACTGAGGAGAGGTGGAGCGATCACAGACCTGAAGAGAGAAGAGAGCAGAATTTTAGAACATTTAGCTTAAAGTATATATTTTGAACACTATATGTAACAGCCTCTACTCTTCTGGGAAGGCTTTACACTAGATGTTGAACATTGCTGTGAGGATTTGATTGAGTGAGGTCAGGCACTAATGTTGGTTGGTCAGCTCTGGGTCACTCCAACTCATCCCAAAGGTACTGGATGGAGCTCCATCACTCTAGAGAACACAGTTCCACTGCTCCACAGCCCAATGCTGGGGGGCTTTATATTGTAAACGTAAACGATATAAAGAAATATTCCTGCCTTCGTTTTGTAGGATGTTGCCCCAAGAACAAGTTCAGCTCCAGCTTTAGGCTCCTTCCCGCTCTTCTTCAACTGCACAGGCACAAAACAGGACATAAACATTTACTGTGAATAATGAAAGGGCACATATAATAGAAAAACAGATTTACTGCACTGTTTTGACAATAAAGAGAGTCTTATTTAATACAAACAAGTTTCAAAACATATGGTTCACTTCCCTGCATATACAGGCCTTATACTGAAGCTAAGCTGCAAAAGCAGCCTGTCTTAATCCTTGTGGTGTTGGGATCTATGGGACGCATTTTCAATGTTTACCAAAAGTAAAAATGATGATTTATTATTATTTCAGCCTCAGATTCTTGGTCTTTGCTCATTTTCAGTGAAGAACATATAAAATAACCCATTTTCAGTGTCTTCACTCTGTTCACCCCCCCACACATTTATATTACACATGTGGTGTTGGGCTGAACCCGCGGGGAGTAAAAGTGTGGAGGTGCTGTGTCCTTCACTCTGTTCTCCTCCTACATGGCCTGCTGTTAGTGTGTGTGTGTCTGTGTGTGTTTGAGGGTGGACAACATGGACAGGCTGCTGACTGGCTACAGCTGCTAAAGGAGAACCCTGCACTGGACACTTGTGATATTTTAAACATCTGGTATTTTCACATAAATTGTTATGACTGTATTGATTTAAAAAAAACAAATAATGTGGTGGGTCCAGCCGACCACTGAGTAACACACACATCAACACCACACAAGGGTTAAAGACACTATCTGTGTGATGTCATGGAAATCCACATATTTACATACGGTCATATGCAAAAATGTGAATAATCCTGGCTAGTTTACATGTTCTGTTGATTTACAACATGAAAATAAGTTAACACACTCTCTTCAGCGGACACACTTACATACGGCATTTTTCCGCTAAATATTATTGCACAGTTTCTATTTATTTGTTTAGGTTAAGATACTTTTTTTTCAAATGAAATGAAGCATAAAACTTTTTGGAAAGGCTCCATTTTAAGCTTTTTTTCTAGAACATGTTGAATTCATGAAATAGACAGAGCAGTAATTGTGCCTTAAAACGTGCAGAACTGTGTTCTCCATAGAAAGTGTGTTCACTTAGAAATTCAACAAAACATGCAGATTAATCAGGGGTGTGAAAACTTCTGCATACAAGCATATATCTGCCTATTCAAGCTACAGCAGCTCAGCCCTGCTTATTCATGCTGAAGATGTAAAGTGTTTTTAAGCCTGGACTTAATCAGGCACAACACAGGGCCTCAAAAGTGAGATATGTGCCCTTTAGGCCAAGTTAATGTGTGTGTGTGTACGTTCGTGCGTAACTCACTGGTAGTGCATGAGCTCTCTCAATGAGGATGGACAGCAGAGCAGCTGAGGGAGACGTTTTATTCTGGTAGGACTGAGCATTCTGCATCTGCAGCACCTGATTTATAAAAAAATACATTTTCAGTGCAGATTTGTTAGTCTGACTGGAACTTAGATGAACTGTAGTGAACTATATTCTCTTTAACACTTACCTGCTGCAGTTTGTCAGGCTGGGTCACTGCGGGCACCCACTCCAGAACCAGATGTAGACGACCATGTTTCACATCACTCAGAGTCAACCACTGCAACAAAGTGATGAGAAGCTTAAAATAAGACAACATTTTATCTTGTGGTCAGGACTGTTCACAGTGGTGAGTGATAGGAACCAGACGTCCACCTCTAAAAACTCCCTTACAGAAAGTTACTACATGAAATGGTGGTTGGTATAGTGTAGTGTAGTGGGTAACACCTCCGCCCTCTACGCTGTAGACTGGGGTTCAGTCCCTGCCTGGATAAACACCCTACACTATACCAATAAGAGTCCTTGGGCAAGACTCCTAACACTCCCTTCACCTACCTGTGTAAAATGATCAATTGTAAGTCGCTCTGGATAAGAACATCTGCCAAATGTAACAATGAAATAATTATGAATATGCTAAAAAGTTCCCATAGTATTTTTTTCAGATTAATCACTATTTTCTCAACATCACAACTCCACATAAACCTCAGAAGACTCGTGTAGGTTCACTGGTGGTTTTGGATAATAAATAAAATGTCTATGTTTGTGTTGTAGTCATGGCGACCCCTGGTTCCTATCACCACCACTGTAAAGTCATCTGAGTCTGTGTTTCTCTACAAGTGTTTCTGTACAATGAAACAATTTTACATCAATCTATTTGATTAAACTATGCAGAATTTTCGAAAATCTAGTGGAGTTCCCCCTTAGTTTAAACTTGTATTAGATTTTGAAAGGTGTATTGATATTACCCATGATGCATGAGAACCTGGGGCCGTTGCTAAGCACGACTTTGACAGCTGTAGGAGACGCTCAAAGCATTTGAACGTTTTTACTTCTTACTTTGCCACAAACAGAAAATGGACACTTTTAAGATCACATTTGACCGACAGACCGATTTGGTCAGACTCTGAAGATGAGACGACACTAAATTCCCAAACTGTCATCACCACTGAACAGCTTTTCAGTCGGCAGCTGTGACAGAAGAACAGCTGAACAACCTGGAATCAGCCAGAAATGAACCCAACACCATTCGCCAAACTAAATGGGCTGTAAGATGCTTTACAGACTGGCTGGAACAAAACAACATTAATACTGATCTGGAAAAAACTGACAACACTGAGCTGAAACTTGATATTGTGGCAGTTTTATGGCTCAGTCTGTACTTCAAAAGGCGAGGCTTACAGCAGACTGTGCAGTGAGTGGGCGGAGCTCGTTACTCTGACGTAGCAACAAGCTGCTTGTTAAGGAACTATAATTTGGTGAAGGAACTGCGAACATTAAAACATATTAAACGCCGCGTTCACGGCCCAGTTTATTAATTTATCACTTTATTTATTTAACTGCTGTATTAAAGCAATAGAACACTCGAGGAGTGTGTTATCGCCAATAACATCGTAGAATAAGATTATGAACTTAAGAACTGTTGTTCTGTAACAGCTTCTGTCCTAAATTCAGCCCTAACTGAAGTCGTCATGGTGATTAAGCAGATAAGATTTCAGAGTTATGGAGTTTCTGTAATACGGCCTGATTATTAGTTACAGCAGCCCAAATAGTATTTTTAAATTCTTTAGATTATGTTTGTTCATGTTTTTGCATTTTACAAAAAGATGGTTCTTCAAGGGTTGTTAGGTAAAGACAACAGTTCTATTTAGAACCGTGAACACTCATAGAACCATTTGCATACTTAAATGCACCTAAAAGGGTTCTGCTATTGTTACAAGCTTGACACTGTAACAACAGCAGAACCCTTTTTGGTGCTATATACACTCTTAAAAAAAGATGGTTCTTTAAGGGTTGTTTTGTAAAGCAAATGGTTCTATATAGAACCATGAACACTCAAAGAACCCGTTGCATGATTAACGGGTTCTTTGTATTGTGAAAAGGTTCTTAAGATTGATGGAGAATGTGTTGTATATGGTTCTACCTGGAACCTTTTAGACAGGCGTTCTACATAGCACCAAAAAGGGTTCTTCTACTGTTATGATGTCAAGCTTGTTATAATAGAAGAACCTTTTTTGTTGCTAAATAGACCTAAAAGGTTCTATATAGAACCATATACAACACATCCTCCATCATTCTGAAGAACCATTTCATGATGCAAAGAACCATTTAAGCATACGAACGGTTGTTTGAGTGATTATGGTTCTAAATAGCACCACTGTCTTTACTAAAGAACCCTTGAAGAACCATCTTTTTAAAGAGAGCAGACCAATAAATAATTTTACTTTTGTATTTGATGAGCATCATTGCCAAACAGTGAAAGGTCAGCAGGACTCACCTCATCAGTGTACTGGGATCTAATGATGTCTCCAAGTTTGGTCTTGAACCTGTTGTGGACAATGAGAAAAGGTCAAACGCATTTCTTTAGGCTGGACTTTAACATCAGATACTGCTTGAATAAAGTTAACTACATTTTAAACAATGTTTCGGTCCCACTTTATATTTAGTGTCTCTAATAACTGTGTAGTTACATGTGAACTACATATGCAACAACAATGTAACTACTAATGATTTAGTCCCTGTTACAGACGGATTACAGAAGCACACCTTAAGTGTTTACACATGTGTATCAACTTCAGTTAGTCCCCCGCATTTAACCCATCCATGCAGTGAAACACCACATACACACTAGCGAGTACACACACACTAGGGGGCAGTCCTTGAGATGTAAACAGAGTCATTTGGAGTAGTGTGACGTGCAATCATTCACCGTAGAGAAACTGACCGACTCAGATGTCTTTACAGTGGAGGTGATAGAAACCAGGGGTCATGATGTCTACAAGATAAATGTGGCCATTTTATTTACCATCATGAACCACCAGTGAACTCACACGTCTTCTGAGTTTATGTATGTTATGTTTCTGGTGGTAAAATAGTCATAAAGCTGAAAAATAAGTTTTCTTCTGGGACTATTTTGCCTCACAATGCCCTTCAGTTGTATTGTGTAACCCTCCACCATGAATGAATAGAAATAAATGGATTCAAATGCATTTTAAGCCGAAACCTTATCACAAAACTATTACAAAGCAATGTCTCAGACATCAGGCAGCGTATATCTAACTATTTCATGTAGTAACTTTCTGTGAGGGAGCTTTTAGAGGTGGACGTCTGGTTCCTATCACCACCACTGTGAACAATTCTGACTCGGTCAGTTTCTCTAGAGCAGAGCGTTTCACACCAAACCACTCTGAATGACTCTGTTTACATCCCAACTATTTCATTATCTAGAATTTTTGAAAAATCAGTGGAGTTCCCCTTTAACATAAGAACAATAATAATAGAATCTGTTTTTTAACTGAATAAAACTAAAACAGCTGTAGTTTAGTGTAAGTCATACTTTCACTATGTGTTCTGTTCTGTAGGGTTCTAGAGTACTTTTAGCAGCTCTTTTAAGGTGAAATTCTCAATTAAAATCTCATTTTACAGCTTAGTTTTTAAAGAAAGCGACACGGAATCAGTTTCAGTCTTGGCCGATACTCGAGGTTTCATTATGGGCATCAGTATCA